GTAAGAACTGAGATTTCTTTAAAGTAGGTATTTCCTTAATGAGAAGCTAACCAGTGCATAAGATGGGGGGGGGTGGGGGTGGGGGGCAGGGAAAAAAAATTTTTGTGACTGTTGGAGCCTCAGGCATCTGTGTACACATTCTCCCTCATTTACAGCTGAGTGTTTCAGCCTTTCTGCTTTTCTTTTCTCCTTTGTTATAAAAGTGTTGAAGTTCCAAATACATTATTTAAGATTAGTATGAAAATTTAATCTGAAGGAGGTTCTGGTTTTGCTATCCTAGAGTTTGCTATTACTTGGAAGATTTTTCTGCTGTTGTCATCTCCTCACTTCCCTTCTTCCCTCCTTTTATTATTATTTTTTTTCTCACTCATCATCTTCCATCAGCTCCAGTTATTGTAGGTAGGCTTCTATGACAAAAAGGTGCTTTAGGAAAGAGTTCTGAAAACGGTCAGAATAATTTTACAGTGGGGCAATCCCTGGGGGATTTCCTGTTTGTCTGTTCCTATTCACACACGAACAGAGCAGTAGAAATCATTGGGAATTCTTCTATTCCTATAGTGCAGCTCTCCTTTTGTTTATCTGGCTGTGGGTACGTTCATCATATCCATACTGCTAAAACATACAGTGAGCATCAGCACCAGAAGCTCACCCCCATTTGGAGCCAGTTAAATATATATGGCTGATACAAAGCACCTTATCCTGGTAGTCAAGCAGAATAATTGGCTACTTAGTACTTGGCTCATCTGATTTTATCCAGCATATAATCAAGATCTTATGGCTCCAGAAATTTAATTGAATGGAAACTCCGTAAGAGGTGTTAACTATGCTTTGAAGTTACAACATGCTGACCATTCAAGAACCCGTATAGCTTGCCATGTAATAACACTAAACATTCACAGGAGAAGCATATTTGGAGAAGTGTGTTTTCCCAGAAGTAAGGGTTTTGAAGTCCCCAGTTCACAACATGAGCTAGGCTGTCTTTCACCTCTGGATTCCTTTGTCTCAATCAATTGGCACAATGAAAGTAAAAGTCAGACTACGACTATCTAATGAGGAATTTTACCACCTTAAAATGAAAGGATAAAAGTCTTCCATTTTCCACCTAACCCACTATCTCCTGAAATTCAGCTCTGCTTTGGAGAATTCTCCTCTGGTTTGTTGTCTTTTGCAAATCAGCAATGATCCTGGTTCTGCAGTGCCTTGATTTTACCACTGTAAATCTGGAGCATCACCACTAATGTCAGCACAGAATCCAGGCCCTGCAACCTAAAGTGAGGTTTTTCATCTTTCTACACAATCATTAAAAGACTTCCTAAAAATAATAGGTTTGTAACTACATCCCAGCCCACTGAACTGAGTAAAGAATAGTGGTAAAATTAGAGCGGAGTATTACAGAACAATCTGACAAGAATCACTCTGAGACTTTTAGCTGGTGTACGCTGCACCGGTATTATTAATTTCTGATCAGCTAGCAAAAGTACCTCACCCAGGTATACCTAAGCAAGTCACTTTCATTTAATTTGCCTTCTGAAGGACATGACAGCATCTGTACATTTTGAGATGTAATTGCTGTTATCCTTCAGAGTTTTTTGAAACAAACACAATCATCCTCCTGAATTACTGACTTTCCATGACAATTTTTTGAGGTTGCATTGTTCTAAACTAATATCTTTCAGACAGATCCTGAATAATGTAAGAGGATAAAGCCCACATGAAAAAATCAAGAATTCAGAAATGAAATTTAAGCTGTCAAACTTTAACTTAGTTGATCTTTATTCCCTTAATATTCTTCAAACAAAACCCATTTCATTCTAGTTCATAAAGAACATTACCTTAGAGGCCATAATATCTCTGAATTTTGTTCTAGGTCGATTTTTAAGTTAAAGCATTAGACATTAAAAAAATCCACATTCTAAGCAGCTATTATGAACTGGATATATAAAATGCTGCCAAACATGTGCTCCCTCCTTTTTTTTTTTTTTATGTTGGTGCAGAAGATAACAATTTCAGATCCAGTCCTTAAGCTAGACGTACGGGGGTAAAACAGCTTTTGTCCACAGGATTTGAGAGGTGGGCTTGTTCAGCCTGGAGAAGAGAAGGCTGCGGGGAGACCTGATTGCGGCCTTGCAGTACTTAAAGGGAGCCTATAGGAAAGATGGGGAAAATCTTTTTAGTAGGGCCAGCAGTGACAAGACAAGGGGTAATGGTTTTAAACTAAACCAGAGTAGGTTTAGACTAGATATAAGGAAGAAATTCTTTGCAATGAGGGTGGTGAAACACTGGAACAGGTTGCCCAGAGAGGTAGTGGAGGCCCCATCCCTGGAAACATTCAAGGCCAGGTTGGACGGGGCTCTGAGCAACCTGATCTAGTTAGCGGTGTCCCTGCTCCTGCAGGGGGGTTGGACTGGATGACCTCTAGGGGTCCCTTCCAACCCATTCCAAAACATTCTATGATTCTATGATTCTATATGATTTAGGATGGGAAGACAAATCTCATGAAGGAGACCTTACCACTGCTCTGCTTTAGAAAAGTACCCGAACACACCGTTCAACCATATATAAAGTGCAACAGCAGTTCCTCTGTAAATATTTCTGAGTGTTACTTCTTTGCATGTTAAAGAGTCTCACCATTCTCAGCAGTATGACAGAGCACGTTTCAAGTTCTTAGGTATTTCTTAGGGAAGCTTGAGAAGTATTACACTTGCTGTAGAAATGCTGTAGAAATTACTCGAAGGCCAAACTAATGGCCCTACACACATTGCTAAGGTGAGGCCTGAAGTACTATGCTTAATTCTGGCTTCTCTTCCGGATGTCAGCACAGGGCACATTTCTGTCTACGAACAAACTTTGGGTTTTCATGGCTATTTAAACGCCGAGGATCAGAGAGCAAAGAACATTAAAAATATTTATCCCCCAATTTATTAGTAACTCTTTAATGCTGAGCCAAAGCTGACAACTAACGGCTTCTAATGCCTTGACTGTTGTTCTGAAAGTGTCCCAGTCATGCAGCTAGCTTAGTGGTACTGGATGAGCTCAGCCCAGTGGAATGCCAGACCTCTCATGCTGGTGTCTTTCATTAACTCTAATTCCAGTTCCTAAAAGGTTTAGAGGATAGCATTTGAACTAAAACTGCCTTGGAGTACTTGGTTCCCTCCTTCCACTTCTGTTAAGTTTGTCACATCCAGACTGCCCTCAGGAGCGTAGTTGTGAGGATAAGCATACTAAAGAGAGTAATGCGCCAAGATACCTCCATGAAAACATTAACATTGGCACCTCCCATGCAAGGAATTATTGGTTTTACTAACTTATTGTGCTTCTCCAAGTGAGATGTGACCCTGGAGATCTAACTGTAGAAAATGCTTCTACCAGCCTGTACCTGTAGGTCACTGATGAGACTGGAAGTACTCAGATTCAGCTGAGATTTAGATTGGGACCAGAGGTTATATGAGAGCTAAGACTTCAGTTTCAGAGTTAGTACAACCCTCTTGAGGTACATTCACTGAGATAAACCCAATTCATCCCTATCCCAACACTAATTTATGTGTGCATTTGCTTTGTTTGGAAAACCAAATGCCTTTTGAAGCAAAATATTTAACAGGCAGTTTTAGGAACATATAGCATATAGAGTTAGTGTGCATACATTACAGCAGCAACAAGCCAATAAAAGGTAACAGAAGCTCCTCTGGAAATATTCCTGTCTCTGTATGTCAATAATCTGCATACTAAAGAGTCCCAGAGCACTCACTAGCATAATAGACTGGGCATTAAGTGGTGCCTAAGCAGCCCTTAAGACAATACACAGAAGAAGCTCTAGAAACATTATGCTGTACTATAAGAAAAAGCTCAGGAACTAAGGACACATCTCTTGCAGACTTTTAAGTCTATTATCTAAACCATTAAAAAATCAGATTTGATGCAATTTAGTTGAAGCTCAGATTAATGCAGGTTTAACTGCCCACATGGCAAACATAGCTTCTTGTAAACCAATTCCCTTAATTGTTTGAAAAACGATTTTTTAATTATTAAGCTAATGCAGTTTAATTTCTGCAGGAAATGGAGCCGAATCCATCAGTGTGGATAAAACCTTTAAAGCAGTGTCTCAAAATTTAGAGAATAAAGTGAATCGAGACTTTGCTGGTTTCTAAGTGCTGTTCCACTGCTCAGTGAAAGAGAATCTACTCACTTCACAGACTACCCTGGCGTTTATTCAGAATCACACTTGTGGGTACAGTCAAAGCTGCTCTTGCAGGATGTGAATACAGCATGACACATGTAGTGTGAGAACACTCAAGTATAAGAAATTAGGACCACTAGATCAAGAAGGGCTCTCCTGTTTCTGCCCAGGAATTCCAAGACAGCCAGAATCCATCATCAGTGTGGGTGCTATAGCTGTTGGTCTATTAAAAAACATCTGTGTCATCAGAGTGAGCATCTAGGAAAGACATTAACTGGCATTCTTAGCTTTGGAGTCTATACTGAGACCCTTAGGAGAAGTACTTGATTCTCAGCAGGACAAATGTTACGACTGTGATTTCAAGAGGAAGGATAACACATCCATCCCTTGCATGCATCCACCAGCAGAAGCTCTATTTCTTTTAAGGACAGTCAAGATCATCTGCTAATAAACAGCTAACTCTGCTGTCCTAATAAGTTACCATAAAGGGTGACTGCTGGGCAAATGCCATTTGCGAAGGTCACATGCTGAATCCGTGGAAAAAAAATAGATAGTTTTCTATGGGTTTTATGATATGGACTTTCAGAGCAAAAGATTTTTACTCTTCAGAAAGGAGCAGACTAGGACCATCATTAGTTACGCTTTCCTGGCTTATCAGGCCTTTTAGGTGTTCTAAGCTGAATACCTGTAAGGATTAACTAATATGAGGTGGCATTTCTTAGCCTGTATGGTCAGAAAGTGTAACCTTCACTTGATTTCCCCTTGCAGTGGGACAGTATGCATTTTCTGTTGTTAGACCATTAGAGATTTGTACTTAGTGTCCTACCTGCAGTGGATTTGGTGAAGTAAGAGGAGATGGAAGGCCATGTCCTGGTGACTGGCTGGGTTTCTGAGGGGAGCTGGAGGACTGTGGGGCTGGAGGTGGTTGGCTCTGGCTCTGGGACTGTGTTTGGTTCTGCTGCTGTGGCGCTGACGGCTGTGGCTGTGGCTGCTGGGTCTGCTGGGGTGGCTGTGGAGTCTGTGTCTGCTGACCTTGCTGCTGCTGTTGGCTTTGCTGCTGCTGTTGCTGATGCTGACCTTGCTGCTGCTGCTGCTGTTGATGCTGGAGCTGCTGAAGATGCTGAAGCTGTTGAAGCTGGGAGTTCAGGGATGAGGTAGCTGTGAATTGAAGAGAGGGAAAGGAGTTATTCAGGTTTCAGTAATACCTACTGTGTTAAAGATATTCTGGATTAAATTCTGGTTCTGTTACATTGTGGGGCACACTGCCCACTGAGGTCAGCTGGCCTCAGACTTCAGGTTGTGGCAGGAAATTAATGAACATGTTCCCATCAATAATAGCCTGTGGTTCTGCCAGTGCAGTTCTGTGGTAAGAGTCGGACTTTACCAGAAGCAATGAAAGCAAACCTTCGGAAGGGCTACGGCTCTGCCCACAGGATGGGCCTCAGAGCTGACCAGCAGTCTTGCTCCCACAAGCTCAGCAGTGAAGCCAGTGGGAATTTTGCCTGCCTAGAAAAGAGGCCAACAGGATGTCACTGTACATAGCATAGCAAGAACTCATAACATGAACTGGTGCTGTTATACAGAGGAGGAGAAAACCATAGCTGTAAATTAAAGGGTGCTCCGAAAAGAGCTTTGTCACGTCTTTATACAGCAGGTGTCAGGAAATAAAACATTCAGCTGTGAAATTTCTTGAGCAATGCATATGTAGCGAAAATACCCAATAACATGTCCGTGTGTCTGAAATTAGAACTGCTTCTTATCATTCACATCTAAAAGCTGTAAAGTTCCTCTTGCGAAATAAGGTAGGGATTCTGTACACTTGCACTGCTCACTTATTCCTGGTAGTAAAAGTCTGTTGTGTTTTGCTAGCATGTGCTCCACACGTGAGGTTTAGAAACTGGTGGCTCACATCAACCAGCTGGCACAGAGGAGCAAACTCCCAGAGACACTTTCAAATTGACTAGGGCATTCATTAAGTTCAGGAAGGCAAGTGTGCCATAAGGATGTCACTAAAGAAGAACAGCATTAAGCAGCAGCCAGAAAAGCACAGGAGCCTAATGCTTTCTGGGCTTTTGCCCTGAATAAGTCACCTGGGTCTCTGGCCCTACCCACTCTAATCAACATTTGCATTAGATGGCTATGAGACCTCAAGAGGAACAGCTTACAAGATCATTGCACTACTTTACACTCTGTACTGCTTTGCTAACACCATTCTGTATTATAATTTCCATCAGCAGAAGCCAAAGTAAACTGAGTTTGAATCAAATTTGTTATTTCTAAAATGATATTCAGATTTCATGGCCAGAAACTCTTTTCACCACGTTATTTGTGGATTGGCAGATAAAGCCAAGTCATCTCCACTTTCTTTTCATCTTGACATCCTTATTTCAGCTTTCCAGATATCTATGCCGTGGGGATGAACCTGAGGTCTTGGTACGACTTATGAAATCAATGAGCCATAAACCGGAATAAGCAAAAGAAAAAAGAAAAGAAAAAGGAGAAAGATGAGGCAGAATGGGTAAGCCAGAAAAGGCTGTATGAAGGAAAGTAAAAGGCTTGGTAGGAAGCACTGTTGGTCATCCATTCCTATGTTCATAGATGCTCTAATTTTTCTGTCACCAGAGGTGGGAATCAAACTACATATATGCCTTTACAAGAATTATAGTCGTGTGTATGTGACTTCAACAAAGAACCTGAATAATGCAGAGAAGGAGGACTGGTTACATCCATATATTTCCATCAGGAAATCTTCTGATGGAAGTTTTGTGTTTCAACATAAACCAGAATGACCATCAGGTTAAAAACACGCATGGTATTTCATGCAAAAGAAATCAGCCTGGAGAAGTAAGGGTACACTCCCATAAATTCCATGATCAGAACTTGTACCTAATCTAGGAGAGTAGTAAGTGGAAATACAATCTAAGGCATATGAGAACAAAGAATGCAGAAGGTATGTAGACAAGAAAGCAACTCCATAGACAAATATTAAACACAGCATGAAGCACCCCCCCATGGCAAGTAATACCATTCACTAATTTTATCTGTAGGTATGTACACAGAGGTGGAAAGATGCTTCCCGTTCTCATGAGGAAAAAACTAATCTAGAAAAGATCTTCACCTTGTGCAAGCCATCTCCTCACCTGTGATAGCTTAACAGTCTGGACAAACCATTGACAACCAGAACCAAGACTTCAAACACAACATGCCATTACTGCTTCTGCAGAGTCCAATATAGAAATGAATGCAATGACACCCCACAGAAGCAGAACTTGTAATACACACGACTCAGAGAGAGGAATGAGAGGTCATTTTATAACCTATGTGCACAACTGGACAGGATGAGACCAAACTTTCTCTATAGCAAACTAGACATAGTGGGGTTTTTTGTACTGCAATGATCCTCAAACCCTTTTGCTCCCACAGGGCGCCCTTAAAGGCCATGGCTTGGAAGAATGGATTTGTCAGAAAGCCGCATGTTATATGTAGGGCACTGGGTCATGTAGTAGAGGACAGGCAAAAGCATTCCAGGTGGAGGGGAAGCCATCTGCTGAAACATTTTTGGAGCACAGAACGCATTGGCTCCTTGAGGTATGCCTTTCAGCTAGAATTTGGAAAATATGGCCAATAATTAAAAGAATGCTGGAAGTATCAACATGAGATAACATGAGGTAACACGGGACAGACAGATCACCGTGATTCCGATAACATAAAAGTACAAAACCAGGGCAGAGCTAAATTTTTGTCAATGATCTTGTAATTGAACTCACAATATGCAAAAAATGTCTGTTGATATAATATTAAAGATAACAGCATCACTGCCTAGACTTCTTAAAATGGTGACATACAAGACATGAAGAGAATAGTAAAGAAGCCCAAAGTGTAAAATAAATTATGTTTCCTGACAAACTACAAAAAAATAAAGTTGCGGTTACGTTACATTGCAAAAAGTTTATTATTTTGTGTGTTTGCATGTAGCTCAGAGCAATCAGAAGACTAATATTTAATGATTATTAGTAATAGTGTTTACCACAGAGCATATGATTCTCTTTCAGGATGTACATAAAACAAGGGACAGAATCCAGGTGGAAGAAATAGGGGAAAAAATGCCTCAAGAGCTTTTTTTTTTTAACCTAAAATTTTGCAGGTTCAGTTCCTACTGAGCTGCTAATGCAACCAATGTTGAATGGCCACCACCAACATACTTCTGTGCATTGACAATGTGAGCAGGCACAATCAGTCAGGCAACCTGACTTGTCTGAAGAATGAAGAGGGTCTGAAGCTGACTTGGAAAACATCAAGTTTGTAAATTCTGAGGGAATGCCCAGCACTCTCAGATGATGGCTTGATATGGAGATTTTTTCATTCCCCATCTAGGAGCAGAAAAGTTTTGCATTCAGTACTGCTCAATACTTGAATGTTGGCTGATACAGGGATATCAGTATCTCTACCATTCACTTCAGCACTGGAAGTACTTTCTGTGGTGGAAGGTGGTCCTTCGGGGAAAATGTTGATGGAGAAAAGTTAATTCACGGAAAGGTTTCCAAGTGCATTGCCAGCAACTGCACAAAATTATTCAAATAACTTCTTGTCTTTCACATAATTCCTTTAGAAAGCCTCTCCAAAGCCGCCTATCATGCTGAGCTATAAATTGCATTGAAGTGGCTTAGTGAGGTATGATTGTTTAACATGCTGTTGCTAAACAAACAGACAAGGACTGTTAGATCAGACAAGGCTTTCCCAAAGCCACGGTGCAGGTGTACTGCAAAGGTGTATTTAGGGCTCCGGATCATGCCTGCAGACTGGTGTTCATGCTGCCTGACTGCACTGCCTCTCACAATGTGTGTACTATCCACAGCAGGGGTTGTGTCATATTATTGTTTGTAATCAAATCCAATCCAACTCCCAGAGCTTGCTTGCATACCTCATCCATTATAAATTGTCTACCTGTCTAGCATTTGTCACTTTCTGCAGAGCTTGGAGCCTGATGGAATTTCAGGTGGTACAACAGTGCTATGTCTGCATGTATAAAAGATAACATGCACTGCCTACCTCACAGGAATCTTTTTATGACTTGCTGGCTAACAGCTGGGTAAAACTTTGACATATTTAAGTGTGAAGCGTCTACTTCCTTTCAGAAATGCATTCAAGAATTAAAAAAGCTTGCAAAAATTGCAAAAAAGTTCTTTCTACGGTTAAAAAAGGCAACATAAAGTATATCATTCTAAAAGGGAGATAATTAACTAAAAAATGCATGCAAGCTGTGAAAGACTGCAAGGAAAATCCACAAACTCTGTGACATTTCAACTTTCCCCAGCAAAAATACATGTTGAATATATACTATGTATCCAAGAAGCTGGTAAGAACAACTTATACCTACAAGGAAACAATGCCATGAGGAGTTTTCAAACTTAAGTTGTAACTACGATTTTTTGGTTGCTGCAATCCCATGACAGATTTCCAAAGGGATGACCCCATGCTTTATGATCCTATTTTAAGTGGATTATGCTTAGCCACAGTATCAAATAATTTACATTAGAATAAGCGATCTGGAGTTAAGAGGTGTTAAGACGCAGCGAAAGCAAACTTTTTCATCTCCCAGGTCACCTACTTCCATACTTGTCACAGACTTCAGACTACTTTAAGGACTCAGACAAAGTTATGATCTAAGGAACACACTCCTTGACTTCCTTCAGGGGATACCTTAGGCACAATGCTGCTATGCATTTACAATATTTACATTAAAAGTTGTCTTTTCATGTTTCCCTTGTGTCTACTGTCCCTCTGCTGGTCACCTACACAGGAAAATGAGATGAAACTAAAATGTTCCTCTGTCAAGTAGAGCGGTGCAATGGGAAAAACTCACCTCTGATGCAACCACACTGAAAGCAGCAGTCTGATCCATGAGAGGGAGAATGAGTGAATAATTTTCTTAGTAGGACAACTGAAAAGGCTTTGTCTTCAAATCCTGGTCGTATTCACTGAAAGTGGTATCAACTGCCTGCTGCCTCTGGCTAATATATCATTGCATAAGTATGGGAATGGCTCTGGTTATATTTGAAATAAAAATACACATTTGAAAGTTTAATCACATTTCTCCAAAAAGCAAGGAACATAATGTAAGCCCACAAATGTTTATATAATGAAAACAATGTAAAAAT